GCATAAAATGACATTGAAATTTGGTAGAGCCTGGAGTAGCTTATCATTAGAGACTAGCTACATGTTTTTTATTTGATTTCTGATAAATTTGGGGATGATATACATGAATTCTTAAAAGCTGAAGGCAGATTTTTAGGGCAATAAAATTATTTTATTTTATGCTATTGTATGGTGGATACAATTATTATATTGTATGGTGGATACAATTATTATACCAGCCATATAGTGAACGCTAATGTAAGCTACAAACTTTACTTAATAATGTATCAATATTGGATCATCAAATGTACTACCCTAAGGCAAGATGGTAATAATTGGGGAAAAATGGAGTAATGTGCTCAATTTTTCTGTAAACCTAAAGCTGCTCTAAAAATAAGTCTATTAATTAAAAAAGCTGCTGATAGTGACGAGAGAAAGGTTCTTGTTCCTTGGACCTGTTCTTGGTCTCAATATCAAACATCATATTCAAAGAGGAAAAGCCAGTATTGGTGAATTCATCCCTTCCTTTCAACTTGGGCTCTCATGCCTACTTTATTTTAGGCTTTCGGTGTAGAGTTCAGGGATGGCTATGGGATCCTCAGGGATCCCATGAGGATTGTCATTATAACTATTCATTCAAAGACAGAGACTCTTAAAACTGAGAACAAACTGAGGGTTGATGGAGGGTGGGAGGGAGGGGAGGGTGGGTGATGGGTATTGAGGAGGGCACCTTTTGGGATGAGCACTGGGTGTTGTATGGAAACCAATTTGACAATAAATTTCATATTTAAACAAAACAAAACAAAGACCTGGAGAGAATCTGTGCAAACTTCCCTTCATGAAATAACACCCTTATCCAAACTTGAGCAGTAGAGGGAAAATCTTCATGTAAGGTGGGTGTTTGAACATCATGATCTCGGTTCTGGACTTCTTGCAATCATTGCTGGATTCAGGGGACACACATCTCTCTCCTTCTCAAATTCGACCTAACATGGACACAGATTGTAGCAGGGCTGAATCCAGGTTGTAAAGTTGAACAAGATCTTATCAAAAGCTTCAAGATACTTTTTTCTGTTCCATGTATCTCACTTACCTGGTTGTTTTTTGGAAGACTATAGTCTGCCTTCATGGCCCATATCTGTGGCATAAGACTTCTTTTCACCTCACTGGAATTGTCTCACTGTTTTGGGGTGCCTGGGTAGTTCAGCTGGTTAAGTGTCCAACTTTTGATTTTGCCTCAGGTTATGATCTCACTCATGGGCGCGTAGCCTGCTTAAGATTCTTTTACTCCCTCTCCCTTTGCCCCTGTCCTGTGTGTGCGCTCGTGTCTCTCACTCTCTCCCTCTCCCTCCCTCCCCCCCCTCAACAAAACAAAACAAAACCCAAAAAACCTTGTCTCACTATTTAAATCTAAGATTTGCTTTTCAGTACCTCATGCTCTGTTCTAGATCTGTCTTTTTTTTTCCAAGGCGGAATGCCTTCAAATGGCCTCTCACAGATTGTGTGGCCTTATTCTTTGTCTCCAAAAGGACAGACCCATAAGGACTGATATCCAGCCGGAAGCTGGGCAAATGAGTTTCTTTCCACACTGAATGAATAAAAACCTAGATTAGCATCAGCGCTTCCTGAATTGGAGCTATTCTACTTGAGGGTCCTTGTAGGGGAGCCCACTTTCCTAAGCTTCAAGTAGTCATTTAATGAGGCATACTTTTCGTCTTTGAATCATAGTTTTGTAGAGCTAAAGGAAATCTCAGAGGTCCATCATTTTCAATCTACTTATTATATGATACAGAAATAGTCATACAGTTTTAGATAGTACAAGACTTTGCTTGGGTCATAGCTTTGATAGTATTAGCAGAGCGGGGAACCAGAATCTAGTTTAATGTGTCCTAATCCAAGGGTCTTTTTTTACCACAAAATGCTGCTTTTGAGAAAAAGTTACTAGGACCAGTTAGAAGTTGAGCCTGGGATTTGCTAACTGATTGTCACAAGGTCTTTCTTGCAAACCATTTTTACTGTAGTTTTTTTGAGTTTTTTCTCTTTCCTTTCTTTTTTTTTTAAGATTAAAACACATTATTGATTTTCTGTTGAGGGCTTTGAGAGTTAGTGGAGAAACGTGCCAGTTTTGCCAGAATTAAAACAACCTTAGATTAAAATAAGTGTATCATGAACTCTTTGAGAAAATAATGTCTTTTAAATGTTAGGTTCATAATTTTAATTCCTTCAGCTTTTTTTTTTCTTTTTTTTTTTTTTTTTTTTTTTTTTTTTTTTTTTTTTTTGACAGAATGAGCGTGAGTGGGGGCAGGGGGTAGAGAGAGAGGGAGAGAGAGAGAGAATCCCAAGCAGGCTCCACACTGTCAGCACAGAACCTGACGGGGTAGTGGCGGGACTCAAAATACGAACCATGAGATCATGACTTGGGCTGAAATCAAGAGTCAGGTGCTTAATCGACTGAGCCACCCAGATGCCCCTAATGCATTCAACTTCTTAAACATGTGAGATAGGTTTTTTTTTCCTAATACACTCTGAGGTATCTTTGAAAATAAGTGTGTCCAAAGACCTAAAACTTTGGATATCAAGCAGTCCCGTGATAGTGCTTTTTAAGGTAATTTGGATTGCCTGTTGATCATTCTGACTCTTCACTGTAGATGAAGTTTCATTTACAGTTCACTTGAAATTCTGCAGAGGCTGGTTATCCAGTGTTATCTGTGTCAGCTGCTTCTCTTTATTCTTTTTTCCTCTGGCCATCTCATTGTTCTTAAAGATGAAAGGGATTGAAGGAAATGTTGCTGACTTTTTAAATAAATGTAGTAGCAGAAGAGGTCATATTTTACAGTGTAATCTCACATTGAAACAGTGAAGTCTCACTGTCTTATTTCACAGTGAAATCTCACAATGTAAAATTATTTTGTTATTCCAGGCCCTCATTACAGATCATCTGAAGTTAGTACTGTGCATCTTTTTCAGTACCTTTTTATTTGAATACCAAAATAATATATATCTGTTGTAGATGATTTGGAAAGTACAGACAAGTACAGAGAAGAAAGTAAAAATCATTACTTGTAATGCTAGTAATTAGTGATAACCACTGTTAATATTTTGGTGGGACTTTTTTTGTTAGTATATATATTTTTGTTTTCTTTTTAATAATGGGATAATGCATTTGTAACCACCTTTTTAATATGCAAATATTATTTTCCACTTTTAAATGTTCTTCTATAGCATCATTTTTCATAGATACATATTGTTCTATCATGTGGATATACCATGATTTCTGTAAACAGTTCTTTTTTGAAAGACATTCAATTTGTTTCTGGTTTTCCCCTAATAAAGTTCTCACTGTCATAGGCCTTGTGATAGAAGAATCTATGATTATTTCTCATAAGACTTTTCAGAAACTGTTTGGATATTTATGAGTGAAATCTAAGGCAAAGAACAATTAAATAATAACATAGTATTATATAATAAACCAGTGAATGTTAATTTTCAGTATAGTGTTTAGTTCACATTTATCCTTATAGTTTAAAATGTCACTGTATTTAGGTTGATTTACAATTTGAGTGACAAATTTAATTTTAACATAAGCCGCTTTGAAAACTGTATTCTTGAGATTGCACGTTAAAATTTCACTTCACATGTCTGACTTTTAGTCCATATATTTTTCATGACCTTAACATTTTAAAGATCTTTTCTATTGTTAATTTCCTGAGGGTTAATTATTTGCTTTCTTTTTAAAAGTTTAAATGATTGAATACTATACAGTATAGTGATTATGTAATTGAGCACTTTATTGGTAATATGTATTTGTCTCAGACTAATCTCACAAGATTTTCTTAATAAATTTAGAATTCTTGCATATATCTACAGTATGAACCATTTAGAATTGGTTGCGTAATATATAGTACTTTTTACTATAAACCTCTACACGTTAGAACATGTTCTTTTTGAGCTTTATTTCATATACCAATGCCATGTTAAATTTTGAATTTTCAATGTTGTATTATGCTTGCATCAGAATTGGATCATTTCAAGGATGCCTGGGTGGCTCAGTCAGTTAAGCCTGTGACTCTTGATTTTGGCCCAGGTCATAATCTCATGGTTCATGAGCTCAAGCCCCACATTGGGCTCTGCCCTGATAGCTGAGAGCCTGCTTGAGATTCTCTCCCTCTCCCTCTCTCTGTCCCTCCCCTGCTTGTTCTCCCCCCCGCCCTTCTCTCTCTCTCTCTCATTATAAGTAAATAAACTTTTTTTTTCAACGTTTTTCTAATTTATTTTTGGGACAGAGAGAGACAGAGCATGAACGGAGACATGAGAGAGAGGGAGACACAGAATCGGAAACAGGCTCCAGGCTCCGAGCCATCAGCCCAGAGCCTGACGCGGGGCTCGAACTCACGGACCGCGAGATCGTGACCTGGCTGAAGTCGGACGCTTAACCGACTGCGCCACCCAGGCGCCCCTAAGTAAATAAACTTTATAAAAAAAAGAATTGGATCATCCCATAAGATTTTTTTCTTATGAATATTGGAAATATTGGTCTTTCTGATCAACTATCTTAGCTATAGCAAATGAAACTAATTTTTGTCAGAACTGTCGAATCAGTTGATGTCACCACCTTTCTTCCCTCTAACCCTACTACCCCTCTACCCTCAATCAAGTAAAAATTACTTTTTTGTGATACTTTATATATAAGGATATTCATCAGATGTCCTTTTATTATATTTAGGGGTACAAGTGAGTGTTTCTTCCATAAACTACAGGTTCCCCAAGGAATGAAATTTTTATTCATGTTGTATCTACCCACTTGTATTGTGCTATGAATTGGGCGAAATAATTGGGAGTCAAATATTTTGGTGTTATTCAGTTAAACTTAATGAACATGCTTGATTGCTAGCGGAACTCTGTATTTCCTAAACAAGTTTATTGATAATCTCAAACTTTCTGATGCAAATTGATTTTTATTTAGAATTGCGCAGATGTCTTAGTGTCTCTAAGTGTCAACTAAATAAACATTTTTCTTTTAGGATTTGTTCATACAGATATGACGAAAGACCTGAAAGAAGAACATTTAAAGAAAATTATCCCTCTTGGGAGGTTTGGAGAACCTATTGATGTGGCACATGCGGTTGTGTTTCTTTTAGAATCACCATATGTTACAGGGCATGTTCTGGTAGTGGATGGGGGATTACAACTCATGATATAATTTACAGATTATTCAGTTAAAATAGTGATTATAATCAAAGGCACACTTGGGCTGTTGATTTATTTGTATTTGGGCTGTTGATACCTACATGGGTGACATTTGCTAATCAAACTTATTGATGCTACAAATACTATTTCCATTTTTTTTTTTTCAACGTTTATTTATTTTTGGGACAGAGAGAGACAGAGCATGAACGGGGGAGGGGCAGAGAGAGAGGGAGACACAGAATCGGAAACAGGCTCCAGGCTCTGAGCCATCAGCCCAGAGCCTGACGCGGGGCTCGAACTCACGGACCGCGAGATCGTGACCTGGCTGAAGTCAGACGCTTAACCGACTGCGCCACCCAGGCGCCCCATGTTTCCATTTTTATATGAATATGTCTAAAAAGAACAGTGTGTGACCAGTTGTGTTTTCTAAATGCTAAGAACCTTATAGGCTGTAGCAATCTTAACATACAGACATTTGCAAGTGCTATAAACAGACATTATTTTAATTTACATATTTTGTTGTGAAAGTGGCAAAAATTATATGGTCTGATGGTCATGAATTATTTCATTGTATCAGGCAAAATTCTCTAGAAGTTCCTTGTGAGCCATTGCTAAGATAAGAATATTTATAGGGCATTGGTTAGTTGTCAGTATTTTAGCAGTCCTGCCAAAGTTAAACATTGTATTCCTTTTACATATGCCTTAGAAGAGCAATTTTTATACAGGTTGGAAAAAAACATCAGTTAGATACAGGCATAAATTTAGAATCCAATTTCTTTGAGTGCATTACTCCTGATTAAGCAGCTGGGCAAAATAATTTACAAATACAAGTGTGGTACAGTTGATCCATCCTATAGAATTTCTCAAAGTGATGTGTAATAATAACCCTTAAGGTTTTAATATCTCGTATAGTAATGAGCTACATAGATATTATCAACTTAGGAAATAGAAGTAGTTTTTTTTTGTGTGTTTTTTTATCCTCAAAACACTAGTTTTAGCAAACTGCTTAAAAACAGTGTAAGAAATTATGACATTTTAAAAATTCAGAATATTTTGTATGAGTCAATGTAATAATTTTTATTATAAAATTTTAGAAATAATTACTTATGAATAGCATAAATGATACTTTAAGTAAATATGCAGTAACAGTGAATAAGATGTCTTTATAAGGAACAGTTAAAGCATTAATTTTAAAAGAAAATATTTGCCCGAGAATGGAAGACACAAACTGAAATATCAGGCAACATCTATTTTGCATTGAACTCTTTTCTGGGGAATAGTGTGATATTTTAAATGTCACTGGATTCATGTTGATTTTTATTATTTATCATTTTGAAATATGGTTTAGATATTTACTGCACTTTAAAAAGTAAGTTTTATTGGAGCTGAACATTATTTTATGTAAACAGATTTTATTTTATATTGCAAGTCAGTGCAAAGGTGTGAATAGGATGTACTAAATAAATGCAATGTGATAAAAGTAATAAAAATAAAAAATAAAAAGTAATAAAGTCAGATCTAATTTCTATGTCAAGCTTCCTGATTCCTTAAAAAAATTATTTTAAATTTATCTTCAACATAATCTTTAAAGAAGTTAATTTAGGAAGTAGGAAAGTTAATTAGTGTGAGTAAAATGAGTGTCACTAATCAAATTGTTTACTAAATGCTAGCATGGTAGTACTTGGATTTTATTAGGCATTAACAGTTCCAGGTGCATAAAAGAAATGGAGCAGTCTGGATGGTTTCCAGTGTTGTAGCTGATGCTTTTAAGGTAGGAGAGGTTATGGAGAGGAGTAGGCCATTTTTCTAATGCTGCCTCGCCTGCAGGCCTTTAGCTACCTGCATTTCTTCTTTATAACATCCCACATAGGTTTGAGTTTCTCTGGATATCACATCTTCTGAAATCATCAGTGAGGGTGATTTGACTGGTGATTAGGAAGAAAGCAATACATTTCACTGACTTAATGACATTAAAGCTACAGATAGGTTTAACCTTTAAGTGTGTGTATTTGTACTTCAAGAAATAAAACCTTTTTAACTGTTACACCCCCCTCACCCAGGTCATAACAAACTAGTAGAATACGGGAAGAGATCTTGAAATAGGTAAAATAAGCCTTTACTGTTCCATTCCAGGCGAATTCTCCTACTCCCTCTGACCTGGTAGAGTTTGCAATTTAATGCATGCATCCTGTTGCTCAAATCAGTTGGCAGGTGTTTTTTATGTGCAGCCATTCAAGAACTTCAGTGAATTCTTAACAACTTGGCAAATATACAGTTGACCTTTGAGCAACATGAGTTTGAGCTATGTGGGTCCACTTATATATGGATATCTTATAGTACTGTAAATGTATTTTGTGATTTTATTAACATTTTCTCTAGCTTTATTGTGAGAATACGGAATATAATACATATAGCTCACAAATGTTTTCACTCAATGTTTATGTTGTTGGGAAGGTTTCTAGTCAACAGTAGGCTATTAATGATTAAGTTTTTGGGCATCACAATATGTGGATTTAAGACTGTGCAGGTGGTCAGTGTTCCTAATCCCCTGCATTGTTTGAGGGTCAACTATATTCAAATTATCTAATAATTAAGTTTTTTTTAATATTCATTTCATCTTTCAACTACATTGTGAGCTCCTGGGAATAAAGACCATATGGTGTTTTCATTCATTTAGCTAATTAAGAAACCAAATATTGATTGAATTCCAAGCAGGCTCCAAGCTCAGCGCAGAGCCTGACTTGGGGCTCAACCCCACAACCACGGGATCATGACCTGAGCTGAAATCTAGAGTTAGACGCTCAACAGACTGTATCACCCAGGCTTCCCTAAACCACTATGATTTTTTGGTTTAAGATCATCAGTCCATTACTTTGTCCTGTTGTTGGTGATAGTTATTGAGATATATCTGTTCTGACTCTTAGTATGTATCCTGGAATATTCTTTTTTGATCAAATCCCTATGATTTACTTTTTGGTAATTTATCTTTTTTGGTCATTTATCTCTAATTTTGATGCTTACTTTCAATTTAAAACTTAATTTGCTGTGGGGCACCTGGGTGACTCAGTTGGTTAAGCATCTGACTCTTGATCTTGACTCAGGTCATGATTTCATGGTTTGGGAGTTTGAGCTCCCCATTGGGCTCTTAGCTGAAAGTGAGGAGCCTGCTTGGGATTCTCTCTCTCCATTTCTCTGCCCCTCCCCCTGTTCTCTCTCTCTCTGTCTCTCTCAAAATAAATAAACATTAAAAAAAAAAACAAACCTGAATTTGCTATGCTAAGCCAATCAACTATTTTCTCTTAGGCAATAGACCTTAGTTTGAATAATTACCAGAAATTTAATTTAGAATTCTTGGGCTAATAGTTGAGATAAGGGTAGTATCAGTATTACCTGCAGAACTTTTTTTTTCAAAAGAATATTTTTAATTGAAGTATATAGTTGACACACAATGTTATGTTAATATCAGCAATTCAACATAGTCATTCAACTACTTTATATTCACAACTGTAGCATCTGTCACCATACAACACAATTATAAACCATTGACTATATTCCCTATGCTGTACCTTTCATTCCTGTGATTTATTCATTCTGTAACTGGAAGCCTATACTTCCCACTCTGCTTCACCCATTTTGATTACTTCCTCCTATTAGCTTGACTTCTGTATTTAGGGGTATGTTTTTATTTTTTGTTTGTTTTGTTTTTGATTCCACATATAAGTGAAATCATGTGTTATTTGTCTTCCACTGTCTTATTTCACTTAGCATAATACCCTCTAGGTCCATTCATGATGTCACCAATGGTAAGATCTGATTCCTTTTTGTGGCTGAGTGATCTTCCAGTGTGTGTGTGTGTGTGTGTGTGTGTGTGTGTGTGTGTGTGTGTGTGTGTATGTATATATACATACCACATCTTGTGTATCCATTCCTCTACTGATGGGCACTTGGATTTTTTTCTATATTTTGGGTATGCAAATAATGTTGCAATAAACATAGGGATGCGTATATCCTCTTCAATGAGTATTTTCATTTTCCCTAAATAATTACCCAGTAGTAGAATTACTGGATAATATGGTATTTCTATTTTAAGTTTTTTGAGGAACCTCCATACTATCTTCCACAGTGGCTGCACCCATTTACATTTTCACCAACAGTGTACAAGTGTTCATTTTTCTCTACATCCTTGTTAACCCTTGTTATTTCTTGTCTTTTTGATTTTAGGCATTCTGATGGGTGTAAGGTGCTATCTCATTGTGGTTTTAATTTGCATTTTCCTAATGATTAGTGATGTTGAGCATCTTTCCATATGTTTGTTGGACATCTGTATGCCTTTTTTGGAAAAATGTTGAATGAGGTCCTCTGACCATTTTTAATGGGATTATTTGGGGTTTTGATGTTGAGGGGTGTGTGTGTGTGTGTGTGTGTGTGTGTGTATAATAATAAAATCTTTATCCATTTATCAGTCAGTGGACATGTGGGCTGCTTCCAATCTGGCCTGTTTGAAATAATCCTGTTATAAACATAGGGGTGCATGTATCCTTTTGATTTAGTGTTTTTGTATTTCTTGGGTAAATAGTACAATTGATGGATCTTAGGATAGTTCTTTTTTTTAACTTTTTGAGGAACCTCCATACTGTTTCCCAGAGTGGCTGCACCAGTTTGCATTCCCACCAAAGGGCAGGAGGGTTGCTTTTTCTCCACATCCTCACCAGCCCTTGTTTTTTGTGTTGTTGATGTTAGCCATTCTGACAGGTATGAGGTGATATCTCCTTGTAGTTTTGATTTGCATTTCCCTGATGATAAGTGATGATGAACATCTTTTCATGAGCCTGTTGGCCATCTGTATGCCTTCTTTGGAGGCATCTTTTATTTTTTTTTTACCATAACCATAGTGGTTATTTTTTTATTATTTTTTTAATATTTTATTTTATTTATTTTTATTTATTGTGAAGTTACCTAACATACAGTGTAGTCTTGGCTTCAGGAACAGATTCCTGTGATTCATCACTAACA